AGTCAGTAGTGCTCGATGGCATTTTAATGGAAGCCAAATAATTCTTTCTGTTGGCGTGCTTGGGCAGCTAGATTTTTTTGTGTTTTATGATAATTAAATACCATCATCTTTCATATCCGACGATCTTCAGGGGCCGATTAATGACTGCAGTGTACAGTGGGGTCATCATTAACTCTGAAGCAAAGAGAGCTTCGGGCACCTGTCTGCAGTTTGGCATGGCTGGTGCATTGGGATACCTGACCTGGCACTCTTTCTTGGAGCCATCTTTGATGACCTTAGGTCTCAGTGCTTTGGTCTCATGCCTGAGCCAAAACTGTGAAAGTTTATGGTTTTTCTTTTTTCATGAGTGTGGCTTACTCTTCTGCAATCCATTTCCTAAGAAGGCACCCTGCCATTGACCTGGGGCATGATTGTGCCTCTACTTCCCATCTCCTGCCTCATCCTCCACCAGCCTCAGAGCTTCTGCCAGTGTTAGCGTGGCCATAGCACCAGCTCGTCCCTTCCCAGTGATGAGCCAGTTTTCTAGCCTTCGCCTCCAGGCAGCCATCACCTGGGCCTGTTTCATTATCTGTACCCCACCCGCAACCTCTGCCCCTCACAGCCGTTCGCACTATTGCTTCCATGTGTCCAGCACCGTGTTCTCTTAGGCTTCTAACACCATGCACACTCCTAATTCTCTGGCTGGAGTGTCCCACTGTACCCCAAGACCGGAAGTCAGACAGCCACTCTCTGTGCCTCCAGGTGCTCCAGGGGGCTGGAGTACCGGTGATAAAGATGATGGCCATCAACACGTGGCAGGTCCTCCCCGTATAGCAGACATTATGGGTGCACTCGGCCTGTCCTGATCCGCTTGATGGACATGAGAGAACGTTTTCACACTACAGGTTTGAAGCCATGCCCAAGTTCAAATTCTGCCTCTGTCACTTAATAGTTTTCTAAGTGTGGGCAAGTGCTTTCTGTGAAGACTAACAATAGCTTCTTCTTTTCGGAGCTGTTGCAGGATTTCCTAAGCCCTTACATACATGTGAGCTGGTATACATGATGATGTCACACACGGTTCATGTCCATAGGTGTTGGCTAACTAGACTGAGCATCTCCAAGTTGACCATGATTGTGACCATGTTCTCTACCTTTAATTGGCATTTCTAACATGTATGCATTTTCTAAGTGAGTGAGCAGCTAGAGGCTTGGAGAAGTGGCGACCTGCCCTAATGTCATGTCACCTGTCAGAGGCCAAAGCTGCTCTGAGACACTCCTGAGCTACACTCTGTGTTCTTCTCAACCAGCCCCTGAAAATGACACATGTCAGGGATGGGGTGTATCTTTATCTGAGAGCTCATCAGTCCTCAAACAAAGCACAGGGCTTCCCCAGAGCCTACCATGAGCCCAGGATGGAGAGATTGGTATTGGTCCTCACTTGCTCTGAGAGGCTCATCTAAGGCATCAAGGAGCCTTACCCTTTGAAACCTTGAAGCCCCGGGAACCTAGCTCAGAGGGTCAGAGCCAGGCATTCTGGTCAGTTTTCTGATCTGTGAGGAGCTCCAGGTGCTTTTCTGGCTTTCAGGAGCCAGTGGATCGGTCCCAGTGGAATCCATCAGCCATAATAAAAGGACACTGCCCGCTGCCCCTCTACTCAGTATTTTTCCTCTTCTTCCTTCTCATCGCTTTTTTTTTTTTTTAGAACTTCTGTGTAAAATGCTGAAGGGTCATCTCCATGGTGACATTTAGTGCTATTTATGGTTTGTTCATTCATGTGCCTTTATCATTATTGTGGACTAGCAGCTACTGTTTGCAGGGTTGGGATGTAGATCCATGGCAGGATACTTTGTCTGGCACATATAAGGCCCTGGGTTTAGTCCCCAGGGCAGGAAAGAAAATGGCATAGAGTTGAAATGTTGTATGCCAGGCACTGTGCTGAGTACCCGACATAGACATCTCATCTGAATCTCAAACCACCCTTATACGGTGGGCATTGTCTCTAGAAAGAAATCTCTAGAAAACTACAACTTTTAAGAAGGTCAGTGACTTGATGGACATCATAGAGGTTTTCTTTTAAATGCTACATTAATTTTTTTACATGTATTTATTGGTGTATGTAGATGTGTGAATGCATGCATGTGTATGTATGTACCAGTATATGTGTATGTATGTGTGTGTGTGCACACTTGTGCCACAGTGTGTATGATGTGTGTGTGTGCATGTGTATGTGTCAAAGCATGCATGGGTGGGGAAGTCAGGAAACACCTTGTCAGGCCCACAGTCACAGCTTATAAGTGGAAGAAACAAAACTTGAACTCAGAGCTGTAGGACACCAAGGCCCAGACTCTTTCTGTGATTCATAGCTCTTCACAGCACTCAAAGGGAGCCTCCCTATGCTCTCTGAGAGTCAGCAGAGACACCAGTGTTCAGGATTTCTGTACATATAAAATAAAAGAAAGTACTGGAGAAAGAGCCCTGGCAACTTCACGTGTCTCTCTTTGTCTCTCTCTGGCTCTGTCTCTCTTTGTCTCTCTCTGTCTCTGTCTCTCTGTCTCTCTCTCTGTCTCTCTCTCTGTCTCTCTGACTCTGTGTGTGTGTGTGTGTGTGTGTCTCTGTGTGTGTGTGTGTGTCTCTGTGTGTGTGTGTGTTTTATGGTAGAAGCAGGTAGAACTCTTTGAGTTTAAGGTCCATCTGGTTTACATAGTGTAGTGATTCTCAATCTTCCTAATGCTGCGACCCTATAATACAGTTCCTCATGTTGTGGTGACCTCCAACCATATAATTACCTAGTTGCTATTTCATAACTGTAATTTTGTTACTGCAATGAATCATAATGTAAATGTCTGGTATGCAAGATATATGATATGCCACCCCAGTGAAAGGGTCACTTGACCCCCAAAGAGGTCGTAATCCGCAGGTTGAGAACCAACCACTGACGTAGTTCTGAGACAGCCAGAGCTTTGTAGGAGATCCTGTCTCAAAGTGAAAGTGCTGCTGGAGGAGAACTGGGCACAGCCAATGGCCCCACCCAGGCTTATTTTCTCCATCCAAGGCTGCTTCTTCACTGAGAGAGCAGCGGATTCTCTACCTTCCCAGGTCAGATTGACTTCCATGTTATCACCCCTTAAAGGACAACCATGCTAACTCTCTGCTGATCTAGGACTTCAGCATCTTCAGGGGAGAGTGGGCTTCGTCCATGCTCGGTGGTCTCTGGGGACCCTCCATTCCTACACTGACCCTTGAATCCCTTGAACCAACTCCACCACTCCTGACCTTTAAGGGTCACATGGCTGGAGAAGGTAGTTATAGGGGAGCTGGTGAAAGAGGAGGCTGGAAGGTGGGAGTACATCAGAGTCCAGAGCCCAACACGGAATTTGCACCACAGGTAGAAGCTTGGAATGTGTCCCCTTTGGATAGATTATCAATCATTTCCTTCTCCTTTCTACTTCTAACCTACTCTCTCAGTTTCCACCAGATTCACTTTGTATCTCTTTACCATAAATGGTCACCTGAAAAGCAGAGTGATATAGCTTCCATTAATATATTTCTGTCCAAAAAAAAATTTCTGTCCTGTTGACTGCCGATTTGATATCATTGTAGTACTATAATCTTGATAATAAATGTCCTTCCCATTTCACAGATGTGAAACTGAGGCTCAAAGAGGTTTGGTGACTTGTCCAGGGTTGTATGTTTACTAAGTGGCAAAACCTAGACTGAATTCTAACTTTCTAACGTCTTCTCCATCACACTACTCAGCCTTGTGAGGAGACATTCCGTGAGTAGCTTAGGTGAAGGGGAAAGATGCACTCCCAGGCCTGCCATCGTTACAGCAAAATTTGTGTGCTTTATTTATTTGCAAAGAGAATCTGCTTTACCACATTCAGTGGGAACTTGCAGTATCTACTCCAAGACCAGGTGTTTGGGTTTTGTTGTTGTTTTTTTGTTTTAACGTACGTATTAGTGATAATAATGTCTGTTGCTCTGGGTAACTTGAAAGGACTAAATAAAATATTTATCGCAGTCTTCTCTTCTGTATGGGGCACAGAACAGCATTTGGCGCACAGTGTGTGCTCCGTGAGTTTACTGGTGGTTTTTATCCACCCAGACACAGCATGGGTCTCAATGTCCTCATGTTCCTGAGGCAGGCTACCTACACCTTCACAGGCACGTGTCCCTCATACAGAGCTCTGTCTTGGCTCTGTATTCTTAGTTGTGTCAGACTCTCAGCTAACTGTTTCTTGCACTCACTTATGTTGTTAATTTCATTTACTATGCACCATTTATAAGGTCAGTGATTCTCAAATTGAACCGTTCATCTCTCACCCGGGGGCTCTGTAATGTCAGATTCCTGGGTCCCTACCCTAGGGTTCTTGATTCAATAAATGTGGCTCAGGGAGCCAGACCTTCCATCTCAAACACACTCACTCTCAGGTGAGGAAGTCACTGGTGAGACACTGAAAGAGGAAGCTGGAAGGCAAGAGTACATCACAGTCCAGAGTGTCTGTAAGTCCAACACAGAATCTGTACTACAGGTAATAGCTTGGAATGTGTCCCCTTTGAATAGATTATCAATCATTTCCCAAACCCTAAAAGTGTGACAGATCAAAGGTGAAGTTGTTGGTCGGAATAAAGTTGCTGATATTGGCAACTGGAACCTTCTCTCTCTCTCTCTCTCTCTCTCTCTCTCTTTTTTTCTTTCTCTCTCTCTCTCCCTCTCTCTCTCTCTCTCTCTCACTTGTTCTCAAAAAATTGTTTCTTATTGCTCTCCTAAAGTTTAAATTCAGTGGGGTGGTAATTTTTAGTTTGTTTATTGCCCAATGCATGCAGAGAACAGAAGTGGTTCGGAACTATCGGTGAACCTCAGGTTCGATTGAATGAATTAACATGTTAACATGTGATTTGCTAGCACCGGATGTACTCATTCTCACCCCTGCAGTCTTGTTTAGTCCTTTGTGGCTGTTTGTCCCCTCAGGGGCTGCACTTAGCCAGTAGCCCACTGACCATGACTGCTTGTTCTTTAGATCATCCCAGCGGCCTGCAGAACCACCCTCGGCTTCGGACGCCTCCGCCACCACTCCCTCACACCCATACCCCCAACCAGCACCACGCGGCCTCCATCAACTCCTTGAACAGGGGCAACTTCACCCCAAGGAGCAACCCTAGCCCAGCACCCACAGACCACTCACTCTCCGGGGAGCCCCCAGCAGGCAGCGCCCAGGAGCCAACCCATGCCCAGGACAACTGGCTGCTCAACAGTAACATCCCACTGGAGACCAGGTGGGTCCTAGTGGACTGAGGCTGGGAGGGCATGGGTGGGTTAGGTGGGCAGAGGGCAGACCAGCTGGACTCTAGGGTCTGTTGGTGACCAGGCCAGTAGGGAATATATCTCTACCTCATAGTCTCTGTTCAGAGAAGCTGCTATGAAGTGCCTGGCCTCAGGCTGCTACTATCCAGTGGTAGAAAGAGAGAGCTCTGGGAGGCTAGGGTTTTAGAAGCCACCAGGGCTGAGGTTCAGTGCTAGCCTGCTGTTTACTAAAGGTATGGTGTTGGTCTAGTTGATAGACTCATGAACATCACCTGCCTTGTCTATGCAATGGTAATGAAGCTAGTTGAGTAAGCCTTCTGTAAAAGCAGGCAAGAGGTGTGCAAAAGAGGAAGACACAGGAGTGGGACAAAGTAGGCACTCAGTTCCACTTTGGCTGGGTCCTCAACTTAGCCACCTGTGTGTAATGTCACTGCCCTGTGCCTAGCATCAGACCATCTGGACTGTGACAGGAACTCTGTGAAGACTGTTCTTCCCTTCCCATCTCCTGTCTTGATCCTTCTTTACCCAGTGATAGCCCCTAATGTTTTTCTCTCAGCATTTGGTAGCATTGGCTTTCGTATTTTGATGTCATGCAATACTCATACCTTGAAGAGGTGGATTTTCATGTTATGCCCCCATCCAGGAGTTCCAGAAGTTAAGAATCAATGGGTCTGTGGTAGGTCAGGTCATATAGGAGGTTGATACATGGCTGGGACTCTAACCTGGGGTGCTAGACTCTCTGTCCAGGACTGTTACTCTGCTGTTCACTGCCTTCTTCCAGGAGTGTCCTGGGATATTTCTTTCAGCCCAGGGACTGCAGGCAGTCTGGGTCCTGCAGCCATCTTCCTCCTCTGTGCTTTAACTACTGTATTCCAAAATGACGTGTGTGTGTGTGTGTGTGTGTGTGTGTATGTGTGTGTGTTTGTGTGTGTGTGTGTGTGTGTGTTTGTAAATACTCACTAAGAAATCATAGGGAGATAAAAAGAGAATTAGACTTATATATAATTCTACTACCTGAGCAAAGCACTTTAGGCATGGCCTCTCCCTGTTCTCTAAATCACAGGTGAAGTGTCCCAGGCTAGCCCAGCAACGCTTCTTCTTCCACACCCTCTCTTAAAGGAAGAACACACAGGCTTTCTTTTCTCAAACTCCTGTTCTTTGTGAGGAGTGCAAAGCCAAACCACACTTAAGAAAATGAAATGCCTTCACACAAAAGCTCTGCACACTTGTTTCTGCCCAACCTGCGGTGAGCACAGTGATGGGATTGGCATGGCGGTGGGGCATCTGGCTCTGCACGAGCAAATTCACAACCCTTTGGTCACATTTCATTCTTGTGGCATCATTTTTCCAAGCCCAAGTTTCTCCAAGATATCAGCCAAGCATGACTCAGCCCCGTGTTCTAATTATTACCATTTCTGTTCACATCCTTTAAAATGCCTCTCCTGCCCTCACAGGTGACAGAGGGGATTCATTGCTGTCATCCCACCGTGGGTAGCCAATCAGGCTTCCATTATGCTCAGTGCTCATTGAGTAGGATACGGCTGACGGAAACCTGCGCTAGTCAGTGGGCCTAGTTATCTGCACGGATCATGGCTGCCACTCTCACTATTTGTATGTTCATTGTTTCTCATTTGGGAGCAAGGTGGGACTTCGTCCTTTGAGTCTGTATGTTTCTCAAAGGAAAGGGAGGTAGAGGAGGGGCAGCAAGAGAGGTTTTCCATAGTGTGTGGGGGGGGTCAATATGTGGTGTAAAAATCACCCCAACTCACATCCTCTGCCCTATCAACTAGAGCTCTCCTGTCTTCTTGATTCCCTGTCCTCCTGTCTCCGTTGCTTAGGACGCAAGAAACTGTGCTTTCATCTTTCATTACTATTCAAATAATTAACATCCACCATAGAGCCACTAGCAAATCAAATAAGCAAGAAGAAAAAGTCTCCTAATCTCCCAAAACGTGCATACAGGCACACACCCCCTTTCATGCATTCACCAACAAGCATGCAGCACAGCATCATTATATGAAATTAGGTTATATGTGTTTAATATTCAGTGTATGCATATAACCTCCTCCAGCTTATGCTTTTTCACGCTTCAGCCCAGGCCTTAGCATGTCCCCACCAGAGTTGCCCCCTTCTTCACTTCTTAGTCTAGCTGAGTCCTGCTTATTCCCGAAGCCCAGCTGAATAGATAAAGAAGGCTTTGTCTATGACTCCAGAACCCTCTGAATCTCAAGATGGCTCCCAAACTGAGAGCAGCACCAATTCTGCTGGATGACACCATCAGAATTCTGCATGTTAATGCTGACCTTAGCAGGCTGATGGCACCAGACTAACAAGATGAAGTTAGGAGAGAGAAAGTTGTCAAGTCTGGCAAGTGGAATCAGCTACTGAGCATTAGGGAAAGATGGTGGAATTTTTAAAGTAGATGGGCCATCTTCTTACCTTGGCTTTCAAGCATGTCAGACCTTTTGGCATGAAATGACACATCAACAAAGTTCACACTTGAGAACTATATAATCAAGTTACAAAAGAAAAAAAACAGAACAGTACACACACACTTCATAATGCTTTAGGTAAGTTAATGATTTAGGCCACATTTATAGCCATCTTCAGCCACATGAGAGCTGTAATTCTAACTTTAACCCACCATCCTCCGTCATCCAGCTTTTCTAGCATTCTTACATTGCAGTGTCATGTCTCAGGGCTCCGTGTATTCACGGTAGTACTCATTATCACTAAATACTCATGAGCTACCTACTACACACTAAGATAGCCAAGAGAACAGCCTCTGGAGAAAGATTGCCGTGACAGAGGAAGCTGAGGGACATGCTGTGCTTTTATTACTGTGGGGTCCCCAGCAAGTGACCCAGTGCTTGCCACAGCATGGTGGGAGCTTATAATATGTACACAGAAGAGTGGAGGTGGGACAAATAGGTGACTAACTATGCTTAACTGAGACTTGAGTGGGGAAAAGGGACATCTTCCCAGTGGCTCCAGAGCCATGTGACTGAGATGAAGAGAGCCAGAAGTCCTGAGGGTGCAAAGGGGAAGATGAGGAAGCCCAATAGAGCAGTCCTACTTGACAGGGTATCCCCAAAGATTGTCCTGCCAATACCCAGAAGAGGCTTCTAAGTAACACACACACACACACACACACACACACACACACACACACACACACACGTCCTTCCCTCATTGTTAAGCAGAGCCCATGCTGAGAATCTAAGCTAATGTACAGATACCATAGCAGCCGGTAGGATGACCAAGAGGGATTGCATTTCATCCTGGCAGAAAAAGGAAGTCTATCAGAAGGATGGAGAGGGAGCTTCTGTAGACCTGCTCATTTCTTATCCCTCCTGTACCTCTGCCAATCCCCAAGATTAACTGAGTTCTTCTGGGAGGAGCGTGGACCTACTTGTGCCCCCTAGAGCTGGAGTAAGCCCTACATGAGCATCTGCGGTTCTTCTGTGTGGAGCCATGTGCCGTAGGTCCCCCAACCTCTGATCCACTTCTTTGACTGGCTGCAGCATCAAGCATTTAATTGATTTCATAGGGACTGTCTGATTAATAACCCATCAGGCTCTTGTCAGATGCAGGGGAAGCCTGAACAGAAGGCTGCCAGACCTCTGCTCTGCCTCAGCCCATCCAAGGCCTAGTCCAGGAGCCTGGAGCCTTTTTTTCTCTCCATACTGAATTTGGGAAATAGCCTTTGTAACCTCAGGAATGATGGCTACCCGGCAACCTCTAGGCCAAGCCAACTGTGGTTCCCCAAATGAGACATGATGCCTTCTGATGAGGCAAGGCAACCTCAGAAAGTCACTTAACCTGCCTGAGCCTCATTGCTTTATTTGTAAAAGGAACACTGAAGAGTTTGAATAGGAAGTCTTCTCTATCACTGGGTGATTTGATCTCAGATGGAGATAAAACAAAGCCCACTGCTGTGCAAGAAGCTTCTAGAGCGAGGTATTCCTCTGAAGGGAAGACAGGCACTAATGACAGTGCTTGAGTGGAGCAAACACAGAAGAGATACCATTCCATGTGCTCGAGAGCATCTGTAACCATGTCAGACACTCTTAGAGACCTCCCTGGGAGCTTCCAAGTGCTACCTAGACTACTTCCTACATACAATTAATCTCCCCGCAACTAAGTTATGTTTGAGGTCCCCATGACCACTCCAGGTTTGGCAATTTGCAAATAGGGCTCATGATACTCTGACCTGAATATGGCTCTGAGTTCACTGTGGTGAAAATAAAAGTGAGGCAACACTGGTAAAGGAAAGGTGTGTGGGGCAAAGTCAGGGCTTCCAACCAGGCCCAAGGTTCCCAAGGCTTCACCTCATGGTGTCACCCAGAAGAGGCACACCCCGATCCCTCAGCAAAAGATACCAGGCAGGAAGCACAGGAAGGACTCAGTGCCCCAGGGTTATAATGAGGACTGCCACAGGGACAGCCTCTGAGTAGAACATACTGAACTCACACCCTCCTGGTAGGAAAACATGTATGCAGCATTGAGTTGAATGTGTAGTTTGTACACAGTGGAGCAATCACCTTTATCAGTTTGCACAGCGAACCCTCCTGAAGTCCACGTTCCCAGATGCCAGCTCGGGGCCAGTCTTAGCAATGGCCTTTCACAGCAATCTGCACCCTAACTCTTGTCTGCATAAGTACTCTCATTAGAACACACACACCACTCATATATATCCACACATATGCATACTCGTACACACATTCACACACACATCACACATACATACACACACTACACATACAACACACCATACATATATACTCACACACACACAAATACACACACCACTTCCCATTGATAGAGGAAGGACAGGAAGGATCTGAATCATAATAACATTAAGTTACTTGCATTAGATCCCACAGTCACCACATAGGACGGCTAGAACATTGAGCTATCTGGCTTCAAACTCCCCGTGTCTAGCCATTGTCCAATCACTTCAAGTGGGCCAGATGTGGTGACGCAAGCACTCAGAAGACTGAGTCAGAGTGTGAGGCCACGTAGTGAGACCCTGTCTCAAGAATAAGTAAAAAGTGAAGCGGTTTCCCAAGGTATCCATTGGCAGGCATTGTCAGCAGAGAGAATACTCAGCTCAAGAGAAGCGGGACACAGGCACAGAGCCAGAAGGAAGAAGGAGCTGAGTAAGATGGTAAATGGCTGGTTGAAGTAGGAGGACCAGGATCTCCTGAGAATGACAGATAGAAGTGAGCAGTAGAGGGGCTCAGGACATTGAAAAGAGGTCCCACCCTTCCTGTGGTCATGAAGCCAGAATCATGGAAGTTGGTCAATAGCTGTTCACAGCTTTTAAGTAGTGGCATTATGAGATTGGCCTTTCAGAGGATAGCTATAGTCTGGAAGATCTAGGTGGTTTGTTGTTGTTGTTATTGTTGTTGTTGTTGTTGTTGTTGCTGTTGTTGCTGTCTCCTTTCCTCATCCGCGTCTCTGAGCACCAGGTACATCTCTGACTCCTCATGAGCTTGTCTGAGTTACTGACACCTGAGCATCACAAGATGTCAGCTGCACAAGTAGGGTATGATTCCCACTGTCCTACACCACTACACCGGAGATGGTAATCGGATGTGATGGTGGCTGTCACAGGGCTTTGTGAATGGAAACACAATCCAGCACACTGGCTTATGTAAGCAGATTGGCTGTTGGGTGGGGCCATCCTGAAGACCTATTTCTCTTGAAGGTCTGGGGACTTTCCCTTCCCAAAGCCACAGGTTTTTCCCCTTTTGAGGCAAATTCCTCCTGCCCTAAATGATATCAGTGGGCATGAAAGCTCCTGCTTCAAGCTGCTCAGGGACTCATCTGTGTGTAAAAGGGACCAAATCCCTCCCTGTTTCTAGACTAGCACAGCCCTTGCCAACCAAACTCAGTACAGGTAAGGCCCAAGTCAAGGGCCCCTGCTTTGAACCATGTAATTGTCTTTTCCTTTCCATGTGACCCTGAAAAGTATTGGCAAGCCTCAGGTTCCAGGTCTGTAAACTGAGGTAGAAACACTACCCACACACAAGAAGACCATACCTAACCATAAGTCAAGCATCCATTCCTGAACTGTCTAAAGGGGTGAGCAGGGAGCCACACGGGACTGTGACCCTAAGTGGGCTCAAGAGTTTGTGTCCCCATGGAAAAACTCCAGGAACCTTTTATTTCTCAGAGGAGCAAGACATCTAAAGTGTTGGGAGCTCCTTGAGCTGGGAGTCAGGACACCTGTGACTCAGTTTCTACTCTGCCACCGTGCTGACTTGTGAGTTTAGGATCAGGGCACATGTCTCCATGGACTTCAAGCTTCCTCACCAATCACACAAAGTCAAACAATTTGATCCAGAACTAAAGTCGGAAAAGCATAGAGTAAGGTTATTTCACCACAACAGTCTGAGTTGCCATCACTTTCAGCAAGTGCTGTATCCCTGTTCCCAAATTTTGAAGTGACCTAAATGACAAATGCCCATGTAGGTATGCTATCAGAAGCACTTCCAGGAGATCCATTGCTGTGCAGCTTGAGAAATCCTTCATCCTGCTCCACTGCCTGTCTGTCCTCTTATCCTCCGGCTCTGAGCTTTTAAGTGATGGTTGTCAGCTCTCTCCCCACTTAAACATGTTTCTATTTTAAATTGTAAAAGTTAAAATAGGGCTGGAGAGATGGCTCAGTCAGTCAGGCGCTTACTTTCCAAGCATGAAGACATGGGTGTGATTCCCCAGAACCTGAATAAAAATTCAGGGTGTGATAACACACGCTATAATCCCATTGCTGAGGAAACAGAGACAGATGAATCCCTGTGGCTTACTGGCCAGCCAGCGTAGCGTAATTAGCAAGCTCCAGGCCAGTGAGAGACCCTGTCTCAAAGAAAGAAAAAGATGAGTGATGCCCAAGGGGCAGCGCCCAAGGTTATCCTCCAACCTTCACATGCGCTAGCACACATTAGCATCACACATGAACATGCTCACATGAATATGCATAGACACAAAGATTTAAAGCAAAACTCACTTGACCTGGGCACTAGAAATATCCTACCATTAACATTTTTATCTTATTTCTTGGCCCTATAAAAAAAGTCACACTTATTTGTTTCTTTTTGGTGAGGTATAGGCTGGACTCTCTGGAGTATAGACTGCTGTCAAACTCCCAAGTGTTCCCGGAAACAGGCTGTGCAGGAAGGCAGCAGAACTCTGTTCAGGTCTGCTGAGCCAACTCTGGTGTCTCTGCATGGTGGGTGATGTAGGATGAAGAAAGACCAAAATCCTCCTTAAAACAAGAGACCAGAGGAGATAATAATACCCTTCACTGGCTGCTGTTTCCAGGCACTGACTGTGTCTGCCATATGCTGGGCAAGCCCCTCCTGCATACCCTGAACCCAGCAACACAAAGCTCAGATCTGTTTAGTGACTGTATGCACATACCAGGCAATCTCCTCTGGGCACATAGCAAAAAGCTGGACATAAAGGACACCTGCCTTGCAGAACTGGAATTATAAGAGGAAGAAACATAATATGCAGACAAAGTTCTCCAGCATCATTCCGTGTGTGTGTGTGTGTGTGTGTGTGTGTGTGTGTGTGTCTAGTAAAGCAGTACAAAAGTGTCAGTGAGGGGTGGCTGGAGATAAAGATGGGGAGCTGCTGTGGGCCTGTAAGAAGTCATAGCTCTGGAAGGAGCTATGATCTAAGGGAGTATTTACAGGAGAATGATTCAGGCTTAATTTGTTTGAGAGAAGCAAGGAAGCCAGTGTGTCTGTAGCCAGGAGCATGACTTTGGAGTAGCAATCAAACCAGGTCTTATAAGATCTATGGGCCTGGTCAGACCTGGGGAGGGTGAAGGGCAGAGAAGGGATCCACAGATTTCACTTCTTGTTATGTAGGTAAGCAGTTATCACCTTTTAACAGATGTGCAGTGTGATGCAGCTGGGGCCTGAATTCAGAATCTGCCTTGTCTCTCAGGCCTTCCATCAGCAGCGTGACCTGCCTAGAGAGTATAATGAAGCTGTTGAAGGGACTTCCAACCCCTGCACACCTCCCAGGAACTGTGGGAGCCTCATGGCAGAAAATCCTGGTAGTGGTGGGTTTGGGTTCTGTTTTGTAAGCCTCCACAGAGCAAGGCCCACTCGTTATCAATGTCCCAAATACAAACCAGTGTCACTCTGTACTCCACCGTCACTGGGAGGTTGGGACTTCCAGATGGTGCTCTCTCTTTAGTTTAAGGATGTAGTAGGCAAAAGTCAGGCTGTGCTGAGTACACAGGGTTGTGGAACAGAAGCCCTGAGCTCTGGGCACTAACCAATCTGGTTCTAGGACAAACTCTGTCACCTGTTAACCATATGATATGACCTCAGAAAAGTTGCTCCCATGAGCCATGCCCTACCAGCTAGAAGGGGAGATGCTAGAGCTGGCCTGATAGGCGTGAGGATGGGGAATAAATGTGAGTCACTCACAGAGCTCTAGAAGAGCAGACCGTGTGTGATGGCTACAGGACAGGGCAACTGTTTCATGTAAGCATCACCTCAGCTGACCCCATGGCAACCATACTGTTATAATCCCCAGTGTGAAGGAAGGATGATTAAGAGAAGATCTGTACCCAAAGTTACACATCAGAAAGGTGGCATAAAAAGGCCTCACATCTGAGTATTTTGTGATAAGGCGTGGTAAGAGGCAGAAGGATTCCTTGGCAGGACTGGAACCTAGACCTGGTTTGCTGCCATTTCTCCTCCTCATAGTATGTCTTATCGTGAGGCAGCTACAGTCCTGAAACTAGCCGGAAGTGGGATCCAGAGCATATGAGGGTGAATGGCATCACCTAGCAGGTACGGTTGAGACCCAGAGCATGTGAGGGTGAATGGCATCACCTAGCAGGTACGGTTGAGACCCAGAAGGGCAAGGGTGGCTGTCTTCATTCTGGGGTATAGTCAGGTGAATGCATAAGTACTGTAATGCCACCACGGACAAAGAGCTCTTCCTGTCTTCAGGAGACTGTCTTCCTTACTAATCAGTTCCTGCCCCGTTCTCACACAGCTGAGGGATGGTGAGACTCAAACCAGGCTCCACATCAACAGAGACTTAAGAAAAATACAGATTCTTTGGCCCTATCTCAGTATACCAACGGAGTCCTTGGCTCTGCTGAGCCTGGGCAGTATCCAGCATTCCAGAATGTTCTCCTTCTTTATAATAGAGCAGGGCCACAAGAGCTCTTGGTCTTCAGTGAAGCCGAGCTGGTGTTTCCAGATGTTGCTTCAGTAGATGTGGAAACCGAGTCAAGTAGAGGAGGGCGCTGGGCTCTGGGTCCAGATAAACAAGTTCAAATTCTTGCTTCGAGCCTTGCTTCTGGTGACCTTGGCAAGTCCCATGATAACTTCACATCCCAGTATCATCCTCTCCTGTACTGGGATCACCCTGACTTCCATGCATAGCATCTATCTTAAAAACAGATATAATGTGCCTAGGCCACACTGCTGGGCGCCTGCCAGTCCTGCTCAGTAAGAACTGTAGTTGGATGTCACAGCTTCCAGCCATGTGGGTTTGTATGGAGAGTTCTCCCTCTGGATGCTCTGTGCCAGGTGGATCCCGTGCACATGTGGCTTTGCACACTGACCTGCTACCTGGAGCCTTTGTCCCTGCTGGTCTCACGCACAGCCGCACCCAACAGCCACTCTCATTTGTTTCTATACTGTCCCCTTCATCGATGCATGACTCATTGCTTCATTCATGTCTCCATGTGTGCGTAGAAACCTAGGCAAGCAGCCATTCCTAGGGACATTGCAGGACAACCTCATTGAGATGGACATTCTCAGCGCCTCCCGCCATGATGGGGCTTACAGTGACGGGTAGGTGGCACCCCTCCCCGTGCTCCTCCGTGTGTGCTCTCCCTGTCGCTCCTGCACTTGCATGCAGACCCCTGAGACCTTTCCCTGGGAACTCCTTGGGGAAGTGATGCCATGTTGCATGCACATCCCCAAGTCCATGTCCAACTTGCAAGTTTGTCCTTGAAATATCCTACCCCAACCCCAGCATATTAACAACAGTCTGGTTAATATGCAGCTCTCAGCATCTCATCGGCTGCCTTCGCCATCCTGGAAACCATTTCACAAATCAATTTTTCTTTTTACACAGCGCAGGCCCCGTGTCTTATGTGGCCTTGAGTGTGTACGCTGTGGTCCAAATGTCTTCTACCCCAGGAGTGGTGGGTTTGTCCTAAGATTGCAGGGCTATGTGGTACAAGTCATGCAGCCCACCCAAGCTTTGCACAAGTCCTCCCAAGGCCATGGTTCAAGCCACATTGGGTAGGATCTTTCAACACCTCCTTTGGCCACAACCATGTGCTTTAACCGTACTCTGCTGTTTTCAAGACTGCAGGTAGGCTACAGGATGGAATTGCCAGCCTGTCCTCCACACAGCTATCCCATGGGCTCTGCCTGCAGCAGCCAGGCTCCTAAGGCTGTGAGGGCATTGGAACTAGCCATCTATTCATGGGCAGAGCTTAGTAGGAGCTCTTGGCTTCTACACCAGAAAAACCTTATCAGTGTTGACCAGACTGCAGGCATTAGAGCAACAGGAAAAAAAATAAGTCCCAGTGGCCTACAGAAGACTTTCAGGACTTTAGACACCCCCTAAGCTACTGTAATGGCTTTAGGAAACAGAGTTTATTTCCCAAGACCCAATCCCTACTCCCAACTCCACTGTTCCCAGGAAAAGGACTTCAGGGCAACCTCTGTTGAGTGGGTAGTGTCTTCTGCCTCGGGTGGGTATTCTTGTGGGTAGCACTGAGTGCTCTGTGGAAACATGTCTTCTTGTGCCCCCGTCTGTAGTCTGATCTGTCACTTTTCCTGACCCTGTCATCTTCCCTGTGATGATTCTTTTTTTCTCTCTCTCTCCAGGCTCCTCTGCATGCTCCTTCTGCGCCTCTATCCTGCAGGTTGGCCTGGGCGCCTGGTTAGCTGGCAGACCCTGACACCTTCCCACCTCTCTCCATCCACAGGCACTTCCTCTTCAAGCCCGGAGGCACCTCCCCGCTCTTCTGCACCACATCCCCAGGGTACCCCCTAACGTCTAGCACCGTGTATTCACCCCCACCCCGGCCCCTGCCCCGAAGCACCTTCTCCCGACCAGCCTTTAACCTCAAGAAGCCTTCCAAGTACTGCAACTGGAAGTGTGCAGCGCTGAGCGCCATCCTCATCTCAGCAACGCTGGTCATCCTGCTCGCATACTTTGTGGGTAAGCATTTCCTCCTCCCCCGCAGCTCCCCATGGCTCCCATTTGGCCAGGGGGCATCAGCTGAAGCACCTGGGGCTGCCAAAGGCACTGTACCAGCACCACAGTCATAATACACAGGTGGTACCAAGATGCCTTGCACTGCTCTTGCCTGTGCCACACACCATAACGACAGCTCTTCCAGGCTCTCCGCTCTCTCCTCTGAGATTGGACTGGGAAGGAATATTAGGATCTGCCTTACATGTGTTGGTTTTCTAGCACTGAGGCACAAGGTCTTGAGGACTCTGAGCTGGTGGTCTGGGACATGCGTGTCATAGATCAGAGATGCTAAGATGAAATAACAGCTTAGGAGGACCGAGCAGGAGGCTGGCCTCTCCTATTGGTCCATGTAACTAGGATGAGAGGCAAGGAGTTAGAGAATTCTATGGGGAAAAGAAACTACCAGGAAAGCTCCAGGTGAGTGTTAGGCAGGGTGGTTATAGAAACTGCCAGAAACTTCTATGATTGTGAAACCAAGGTCAGAAGCCAAGGAAATCTTGCATGAGAAACAGCAGGTCCCAGTGAGTGGAGAGTTGGCTCAGAGAAAAGCAAAGGCCCAGAGCCACGATGCATGAGAATTGTCTACCTAACCCCAGGGTATGTAAGAAAGTCCTCGTCCTGTGACTTGTAGCCCTGCTCCAGCAGGATGGATGCTATTTGGCATTCTTTGGACATATTTCTAGCAAAATCTGGTTTCCTACTTCTGGTTCCCCTCTTTGGTCTTCTCCTGGGAAGGAGTTTAATCTAAAGAGCTTTGAACTTAGTGAGGATTCTCTGGCCTCTGGGATAATAAGCCTCTTAAAAAAAAAAAGGCGTCTAAAGTGGGTTTGCTTTAGCTCTTGGTGCATTTTCCAAGGTTGAAGGTGGGTCATGCTAGCCTGAGAAGGCTGTAAACCTGTGTTAAAGAGTTTAGAGAGAATTCCGGAAACAAATGGATTGTTTTCAGTATAAGCCAGTAAGTAAAAACAGAGCTGACCAGCAGAGGCCAAAGAAAGACAGAATACTTCCCTCTGCCAAGAAGAAGCCTCTAGCAAGCTGTCACTATGGATGCAAAGGGAGCCTGCCTTGAAGGCATTACCATGCCATCATGAGGACTGATTAAGAGAACATGTGCCACAACTTCTTTGGGAAATGGAGAAATATTTTGGATGTGGATGGGGTTCAGAGGATGACATCAACTGTAAGATCTGTCGCAATCACCTTGGAGCAAACAGGAAGGACTCCTTACTGGATGGACAGAGGACCTTTGAAGAGCTATCTATCAATACTTGGAGGCCACAGCCAGGTTTTCATTTCACAAAGAAGGAATTGATGCCAGAGCTATTAGAAAGTGGTTAGAAAGAACCAGTTAGGAAAATCTGATGGCTTCAACTAAAATAATGACAGTATGGAGGTGGTGAGAAAGGAGGTGGTTGTAAGATAACTCTAGGAGAATTTATGACTTCAATTAAAGGAAGTCACTCTACTAATAGCATGTTCTTGCTAAGGGTAAATGCATGCTTCTCATAAGAAGCAGAAGGCTGGACCATAGCTACCACTCCAAGAAAGACACCAAAGAGGCAAGCCTAGGCACTCCCCTTGTCGTGTGGATAGACCTAGCAAGAGCTTGGGAAGAACCTCAGTACCAGTCGGTCCTTCCCGCTCAGCTCTCCCACATGGCGGCTGTTGACCCCTGACAGCTCCCTGATTTCCCGCAAGGGTGTCTATGAGGCTGGAGTTAAGCAATGCAAGTGACTGCAGTGCAGGTATGGGGACAAGCCGCCCCTTTCTTCAAGGGCTGGGCATGGCAACCCGAGTACCTGGTGTCTTCCAGCTGATGACGGCTGGAATGGGCATGTGGGAGGGCATCTTGCTTGGCCATAATTACTGACTGTGATGACTAACTTGTAAGGAACTATCAATTATTAAAAATCAAATTAATTGTTTCAGCCAAGCACAAATATCCTTAACAAAGACTCCTTTCCAGCAGACCAACTGATCTAATCAACAGGCAAAAAAGCACAGATATTTAATTAGATTTTTGATGAAAAATTGTGTTTAATTTCAAGTATAATCAATTATTAATTACAGTAATGAGTGAGTCTGACTGGGTTTACTAATTAACTCATTTAAAAATTATGAATAACCTTTTCATTTGTAATTATTTTCTACAGCCTATCAAATTCCAGATAAGAATTGCATCACCTTGCCAGCAGAGGGGGAGGCAGATGCAAAGGGCAGGAAGGAACGTTGCTTCTGCTAGTACCTGCCCAGGGCAGCCATCTCTGGGTGGTGATCCTGACAGATCTATTTGACATTCAGCCTCTGAGTTGGGAACTGTGCTGAGAAATGAGCAGTCATTGACCTTTATATTTCAGATATATTTACTGATATTTTCATGGGAAAATAGAGAAATTGGAGTTAAAACTCCATGGAGACTTGCCTTTGGGCCATCTTCTCCTCCTTCCCTCAGAAAGCCTTACTTGGCTAGGGTAGACTCCCCACGCCCCATGGAGGACCTTGTCAGGGCCATGTGATATCTTCAAAGAGGGAAACGTAGCTCTCTTGTTTTTTTCCTCCAAAGCACTCCCATTCAGACAGGTAACCATGCAGAGACAGGCAGCCATGTGGACGTGCACACCCTACTTGTCCCCTCTTGTTATGGTTTTCAGATCCTTGCTGGTCTCCATTTGGTTACCCTACCTTTCCTTTTCTAGAGAAATCTGCTTGCAGAGCAACATGGAGAGATGCCCAGGTGATGCCGTGTAGACGGTGCCGTGTAGACGGTGCTCTATTCTCATAGCATCCTGATCATTCTTAGAACACTGAGTAAAATGAATACATATGTAGTTTAGAAAAACGTCAGTGCTCGCTGTCTGTCATTCCCAACACCATTCGCTGTTAGTTCTGAGTCTTCCCCGTGCTCCCTTTTAGCCTAAACACCTCACTTGTGTTTTCTATCGAAGTCTCCTCACTCCCATTCACAGATGAGGACCCTGGCTGGGACCCACGAGCTTAAGTGGCTCACTGTCACATGATATCACATTAGGACATTACATGGTTGCACAGCCATTCTGACACTTTTGAAAACATACTTTTACTCTCTGTAGCTCAGTCTTTCCCTTTATGCTGTAGCTTTCCAATCTTGATATTCTATTGTTTTGTGGGGGAAGGCTTTAAATATGATCCTGGCATTGGGCCAAATCCAGGACATGCTTCTTCTCTCTAGACCTTCATGATGATTCTGTGGAATCAGTAATTTTTTCATGGAAAATCTAAAGCTCATGACAACTTTCCAGGATCCTTCAGGTAGTAAATGACCTAGACTTGGGATCTCCAAGAACGTGCCTTTAGGTACAGTGCTGTAGGTCCTGAGCTTGAATGGATAATGCTGAGCTGATAGACTCCCTTTCAGGCCCCACCTATGACCTTTATTCACAGGGTAAGCTGAGATACTGTGCTTAACCTCTCAGAAACTTAGCTTCCCATTTCTGTATTGTTCTTATAGTGGGCATGGATGCCATGGTTATCCCATCTTGCAGAAGAGGTAACCATGAGTGGCAAATGGCCCTCAAGAGCCTGGCTTCTGAAATTAGGCATGTATCTTTGAGACCTCAGCTCCTCCACTTACAAGCCTTGCCTCTTTAGTTTCCGTGTTTGTAAAATGGAGGCCCAACTGGCTGTATCACAGGGTTGTCGTGAAAGTTAAGGAAGGAAGTTTATACAAAGTACTTACTTACCATGCCCTACACACACACACACACACACACACACACACACAAACACACACACAAATGCATGCATGCGCTCACATATGAGCTCACAAATAATGCAGACACATATACATTAATGCTTGCATGCACTCACACGTATACACACCACACACACACACATACATGCATGCACACACTCATGCGTGCACACAATCATGCGTGCACACACTCATGCGTGCACATGAACACCTAGCACAGAGTAGACACCAAGTGGAAGCTGCAGACTGTTGATACTTGTGTCATTATCACAAGACAGAATATCTACATCTTTATCTTTTGAGGGAAGACCTGCTCCAATCCTGTCTTGCTGTAGCCTGCCAGCTTCCCAGCTTGCATTAGTCTCTAGAGCAGCTGAGAAAGCAGACAGGATGCTTGTCAGAGCACATTTGTAGGGACATCTAGCTGTTCCAGGAGAGCAGCCACAAAAGAAACCATCATCTAAATGCCCCCACCCCATGTCTTTTCTCCAAGTAGGACAGAAGCTGATTTTGCTTCACTGACAGTTAGCTGTATCCACATGAAGCTGACAGCTCTCTCACTTCTGAACAATGCTGTAAAAGGCAGTAGGTGAGCTGCAGATTACAATCTTGAGGATGTTTCAAGCACCTAACTGGCCAGAGAGCCTGTGAGATAGTGATGGAGAAAGGCTTTCCATTTAAATAAAGATCCCAGAGCATCCTGGGATGCTGGCTCTTCTATACCAAGTCTAGGCCCACCCTAAAGGGTGGGGTGAGTTCACTGTAATGTCTCTATGGAAGCATGGTGCTCCCTTGACAGTATAAGGCATTGAGTCTTGTTTCTACTTCTGCATAGTAGAAGGAATAAATAGAGCTGCATCAGCTAGGCCAAGAGGCACAATGGTCAAGGAGACATCCCTTGCCAGTGGCTTTGGAAGAATGACATTACAGCTCCTTGAACTTCAGTTGTCTCAGCCTGAGGTTTGATGGTTGTAGATGATCCCATTCAGCTCTTTGCAGTGAATAATTCCTTGCCTAGAGGAACTGTACCAGAAAATCCAGAACCTGTGGTGTCACAAACATGAGCTGTAGCCACCTCTGGGTGGGACATTCCTACAAACACAGAAGCAGTGATGGGTCTTTGGATTCATTAGGTCACATTTTCATGTCTCCCAGAAACCGAGTGGGTTGTAAAAACTAAACAAACTCTGTCTCAAAGTGGTGATAGTTTAGTTTGTAAATGAGAATGTTGCCA